TAATGACTTCAATTGCTCCTAATGCTTCATTTGCTTGATTCCATGTGAGATAACTACATTGTTGAATTGGCTCATTTGATGGGTCTTTCTAATAAACCATTCACATTCACAACTCTCATCAATATCATAAAAGCAAATGGGATCTAATTGCATTGGGTTTAAACATCTTGTTAGGAATTTCTCACGAAGACGAAGACAATATCATTAAGCCTCTTTTGATTAAGTAGATTCCTATTTTTCATAAAAATATACATTCATAACAAACAAAATAGGAAAATTATAAAAATAAAGTATTTTAACTTTTATAGTTAATTTTATTATTGACGCTACTAGATATTACCAATCCACTAATTAATAGTAGAATTACTTATATTCTCAAAGATGCTCTAGTTACGCTTACAGGCAAAAGATGTACACTTGAAACTTAATATATGTCTTGCAATATGCCTAAGGTCCAGTGTGCAATGTCTATAAGTATGCCACTAATCAACTACAAAGTACAAATTACAAAATAGAGAAAAAAATAAAATTAGAGAATACAAATTAAAAATAACAATATATAAATATTAATGAATTAACCATAAGATTCTAGAGAAAGATATTAGTTAATTATTTTATTTCCCATTGTCTAATTCTCATTTCCTTAGAAAATGCACCACGGGCATGGTTTTATTCTTTAAATTGATGAAAAATCTGATCTTGAATTTCAATGTCACTCACCATCCTCTTAATACAATGTATAAAGTTTATCTTAACTTCCCAACTGATTCTTCACCATCAGCTTTATAAAAGAGGGTTGGATTGATGAAGAACCCCACAATGTGCAAAGGATGTTGCATCATATTATTCCAATGTTTGTAAAAAATTTCTACAATGGGCTTATATTTTGTTTCTTTCCTACCAATAATTTCTTTTACCTTTTCTCTAACCAGTTCCACTGCATAGTAGAAGTATTCCGTTGTTGATTTTTCATCACCATTAACCAACCATAAGAGAGAGAGAAAGAGAGAGAGAGAGAGAGATAGATAGATTAAAATGGGAAGGGGTTTTGTTTGGGCAACTTGACTTTCTATACATGATGAAGTAAATGGTATGCACATGTGAAATATTTTTCTTTGTGCGGATAGATCACGAATGATGGTCTGATTTCTTATTCAAATGCTTGGTTTTTTTGTCTTTTTCATTTATCGTTTTAATCACTATATCTCTGCAAATGTTCGTTAACRAACTTGTGATATTCTAATGTTTGAAAGAGAGTAAGAGCGAGGAYGAGAGGTGCCACTTTCTACGGATTTGGTTAGATCCCTTAGATCTATAGATGCTCTTCCCTTTTTGTCCCATGGTACCATCACCTTGTCTAGGCATCCATCCTTTGGTTTCTATTTGAATTCTTCCTTGTGCTGATCAATAAGTTCCTACCAGATCTCCATGCGTTGATATGGATATCAACAAATTTGTAGAGGTAAGATCTACTAAGAGAGAGAAAGAGAGGTAAATATGATGAAAGAAGGTGTGTGTCTCTCTTGCATTTTAAAGCAACTTTCTTTTTGGTTAGTTATCTCCAAAGCTATATGTGGGTAGTCATCACAATCCTCAGTAATGCTAGTTCTTGTGAAAGCCTCATAAACATACTTACCACCCCTTTTGGGATCCTAAGGGGGACTCTTAGCATAGGTGATGGTAACAAGTGGTTACTGTTAACAGATGTACCACACGTTTGTTATTACCGACCTAATCAATTTTCTTCTACATATTTAAATTGAAAAAAAAAATTACACGTGTCTTTTTACAAATTATGGCTTATGTGTTCTTCTATTACATTTAGGGTAGAGTTGATTTTATAAATGTCCTACTAATCTCACCGTGCTTTTACAGATTTGCCACATGCTCCGAAAATAAGGAGGGTGTAATGATGGATAGTGGAGAGAGGATTTCTTATAAATATTTATTGAAAGCTATTTCGTTTGCATGTTTAGGTATGTAGTTTATTTAACAGATTAATTTTGATTTTTTGTTTAATATTAAATATTTTCTTTTTGTCTTATTTTATTGATGAAGTGTTTAAAACATTTAATTAATCTTCTTGAGCATTGTAATTTATTTGTTCATGTTGTTTTTATTTTATTGCTATTAAATTTAGATAGATGTTTTTGTTGTGGATGTGAGTATGGTTCATTCAATCTTCTTCTCTTCTAAAAATGATTTTTACATAGATCATAAGAGTGCAAAAAGTGGAAATGATGGTTTGGTATGGATTTATATTAACYCATAACTTGAATATCATGTCCTAATAGGGTTGTAACCCATTTCATTAAATTGGCTTTGAATATGGTCTTGCCAAGTTCATGCTAAATCCAACCCAAGCTGTACCTTATTTTCTTGTAATAAGTAGAATCAATCTTTTGTTGTTCCATGTCTCTGAAGCAATTAGTAAGTTGTTTTTTTGTTTTCAAAGGGAAGGGGGATTTGCCTTGTAATTTAGTGTATAACATAATAAAAGAATGGGAAATTTTCACTTTAGTACCTTGAACTTTGGGGGTAGTGTCAAGTTAGTACCTGAATTTTCAAACGTGTCACTACAGTACCTAAACTTTCAAAAAAGTGTCAGGTTGGTCTCTGCCATTAACTAACCATCAGTTATTTGTTGGAAATGTCAAAACTACCCTTCAAAAGAAGACACTGTTCATTGTCTTCTAGCTAGGGATTGAACCAGTTGAGGTGGTTGAGATTCTAAACTAAGTCATCATTGTCTTCTACCTTTAGATCTAAAAGACATTATTGTCTAGTTAGTTCTTTGCTTTTAGTTATTGTTTCCCTCTGTTATATTTTATGTTTTTTCTCTTTTTTTATTTAAAGATAATCGATTTAGTCTCAAGGTAAAAGACATTGAACAGTGTCTTCTTTTGAAGGGTAGTTTTGACATTTTCAACAAATAACTGACAGTTAGTTAATGGCAGGGACCAACTTGACACTTTTTTAAAAGTTTAGGTACTATAGTGGCACGTTCGATAGTTCAGGTACTAACTTGACACTACCCCTAAAGTTTAGGGTACTAAAATGGAATTTTTCCTAAAAGAAGAAAATAATTTGTGTAAATTTTATTCTATGTAAAAAAAGACCAAAAACACTTATTCAAATGACAATTTATTCTATGTAAAGCTTTTGGTTGCAAGACAAGTCTCTAAAAAAACTTCATGACTACTCTAAGACAAAAACAAGTAGTATCAACTCTAAATTCTCTTACATTACCTTTGTTTGCTCAGTTAATCTAGAATTACATAAAACAAAAATGAGTGTAGACCAAACATTTCATTTTACTTAAAATGTAAACGGACACAAATATACAAATTGACAACCCCGTGCTCAACACGAGTTACTCCACTAGTTTACATTTATTCCATGTACTACTAACAAATAAATAACGTAATGGCTCTTTGAAAGTGAACAAGCTTTGAAAAGTAAGAAATGAAGTGGAAAACCTTGTGAGAACAAATTTAACAAGATCCCTTCCATTTGTTTTTTCCTTCATACAAACAAGGAGAATAGGATGTTTGTAACTGAAGCTGTCACTTGTCTTGCCTTGGCAACATAATTCTTTGGAGACTCCACTCCTCTAATATCCTTCAACATGAAGTCTAATAATGAGCAATGTAAGGAGTCCAAAGTAAGTTTTTTCTTTTTATCTTCAAAAGACCACCTATAGCCATATAAGTAGAGTTGTTATTACTAACTACTTGCACCACATGTTCTTCTCCCATTTCCTTAACAACCTTATCAATCAATTCATACAAATTGTATTGTAGATTTTATTTGAGGAATCAATTAATTTAAAAAAAAAAGGTACCTTTAGGAGAATTCACTAAAAAGTTTATCAAATTTCTTTGCCTCTTGTTATGTCCATCCATTAGACATAATAGTGTACTCGTACGTTTTCTATGAGGCTTCATATTCCTTGAAAAACAACTTTGTTTTTTCAATATTCCCTTCTAAGAGTGGTTCTCTTAACTTATGATAACTTAGAGGTTTCTACCCATACTTCCACCATAATCTCAAAAAACTTCAATTTTGTTGTGTTGAAGGGTATTTCAACTTGGCAAAACCACTTCGCAACATATTCATTCGCATTTTTTCTTTTTTCCTTTTTACCTTTTTAATTGGCTTTCTATTCTTCTTTGCACTGATTGTCCCTTGTATGTTGCCTCTATCACTTTTTTTGGACTTGGCTTTACAAAAGCATCTATGGGTCTTCTAACATTTTCCTTCTTTTTTTGTAAGAATATGATATTTAATGTTTGAGCACTCCTACCAGTTGAAATGTAGCCACCTACTTTTGTAGGTTGGTTATTTTCATGATGGGATTCTTTTTCAGAAATAATATTCTCCCATGGCCTACAGTTGTTCTCAATTATGAAATCATATAATGGTTTCTTCCACTTATTTTTTAACATATAGTCTTGCATCTCCTTTTCGATACTCATTGTAGTTTTGAAGCACTTAGTAACATTCCCATATGCTCCAATTAAATGTTGTTTTATTATCTTAATTCATCCTTTAACAATCTTGCCACATAAGGAGCACATGGCAACATTTTTATCCTCCATATCATGCCAATATTCATACTTCCATGCAGTATCCTTTAAATGAGCTTTATTCCTAGAGATAGAAGTATTTCAATTTTCATCCTTATTTGCCATTGTTTAATGAAATTAAAATCAATGAGCAAATGTGTAATGAGTCAATGACAACAATAAATTTAAGTTAATTAACAAACACAAATAAACATCAAGTGATCAACAAATCAAGGTAATATTAGAAAGGCTAATATAAGTGCAAATTCATGGATAGGCAAAATACATGAAAAAAAATAAAAAACATAATAAATACACTACAAAAAAAAACACATTTCTAGTGGTAATTTCTGAAGTGACTATTCAGTGACTACCGCTAGAAATATTGATCTTTAGCGGCATCCAATTAAAATTGCTGCTAAAGACCAGTTGACAGCCATTAGAAAAGAGGTGCTAATTGCTAAGATTTTCTTCCTCGCGGCTCCCGCCTCTTTCTCTTCTGATTTTCATCCTCTTCCCGCCCATTTCTCTCATTCTCTCCCAAAGTCGTCTCTTTCTCTCTCTCTTACTCAAGCTTCGCACCACCAGCACGGACGGAACCAGTGGACGACATCTAACCACCGGTAAATCTCTATCTTTACTCTTTCTCTCTCTCTCTCTCTCTGTCTTTCTCTCTTTCTCTTTCTCTCTATTCAATCTCATATTTGATTTTCTTTGCGTATTCACCTCTTGATATGGTTTTTTTATGGTTTTTTTTTATTTACCTCTTGATAGGAAAAAGGAAACAGCAATTTTGGTCATGTATTATGAATTGATGATTGCTARATATCTAAATATTACCTATATTTCTTCTATTGTTTCTGAATTTTAGTTGCATTTTATGGTTTCATTTTTCTTAATACTTGTAAATGAATGCTTTTCTATCCTTTTTTACTTTCCTTTTTGCACTTTAATATCTCTCCTAGTGATATGACTTTTTCTAGTCTTTTCCCGCTTATTTACATGTAAACATTCCTCATTTTCTCAGAGGGTCTCTTGGCTAATTCTCTCAGTTCCAGCATGCTCTGCAATCAAGTGATGACTCTTGAATCTGATTCTTTTGATCAAGATGATCTTAAGACAGAAAAGCCATCTATAGTTGCATCAGAAAAGAAAAAGAATTATGTTTCACAATCTATTGTGGCTTTGCACTATTGTGTTCTGCCTCCCTCTTGTGTCAGGAATCTAGATCCTCTTGGTAGCCGGAGAGCAAAATCAATAGGTATAAATTTAGTTTAGTCTTTTATTTTTAATTTAATGGAGGATTATTTTAGAATCTCTAGGTTATTTTCTTAAGACAATTTGTTTTGAAAAATTGGTTTTGTTAGAAAGATAATAACCTCCAAATGTTTTTTCCATGTTAACATATATTTTGTCAATTAGAAGCACTTCAATACTCTGCAATATTTATTTTCCTTTTTTCTTCTTTGGTTTTTCTTTTTTTTTTTTCATAATGTCCTTTTCTGTACAGACCTTGGAACTTATTATACAAGAAAGGGTCAATACCTCTGCCAAACTGAAAGAGAAGAAGTAATATCAATCTATGAATCATAAAGATGGACATCAATTTAGATTGTGTTTTAGAGAGCCAAATAAATTTGCTTTGCTGTATTGGTGCAGAACTTATTATGGGAAGATCATGGAGGACATGAATGCAAAGTTATAGGAACAAGTTAATTCAAAAATATTTAATTTCTTAGTGGCTTTGCCAACCATTTTCCTCCTTCTAATGACTTGACAAAAAGTGTAACTTTTTTGTTTTGAGCAGGATTGGATCAATTCTCACAAACTCAACACTAATGCTGGAAAATTAAGACTGGTATATTTGTAACTAGTACCTGCTTTTGTTTTTCTATTGCTTGGAATTTTGGTTGGTAGTGATAGGCCATCATAATTAACAAAGGCACACTAGTATCTGCATTTCATTAGTGTGATTTCTGTAAATAACTTGGCTTGACTCTTTCTACACTAATGTTGGAAAACTAGGACTGGTATATTTGTAACTGATACCTACTTTTATCTTTCTATTGCTTGGGATTTTAGTTGCTACTGCTAGGCATCATAATTAGTAAATAATGGTTCACTAGTATTTGCATTTCATTAGTCTGATTTTTGTAAATAACCTGCATTTCATTAGTTTCTCTCCATTTGGTTGCTACTGATAGGAATGGTAATTTGTTTTATGCTGTTTTTTCTTCAACAGAAGAAAAAACTGTTAATGATTACATTAATAGCAACCAACCCTTCCTTGTGCAATATACACAAGTCACAATGCATGTATATGAGATGTACTGTGAAGGTTTGCAGTTTGCTATAATGTTGGAAGATAATGTAAAACTRTTAATGATTACATTTCCTAGAGGAAAACCAAGAGTCAATGTATTATGTATTTATTTAGTGGGTGTTTGCCAATATGTATGATTTTGTTTTTCAAAGCAAAAATAACTGCCACATTAGTAAAAGCAATATGATTTTTCTTATCAGATTTACTCAAAGAGTCTAAACAACCCTCAAAYATTCTATGTGGAAATTTGGTTGGGAGCTCAACAGGGCCTCTAGACACTCTATGGGGAGAATTTCAGCTTAAAATGCTTTCCCTTGTTGCCAAAATAAACCTTTTCTTAGTGGTATAGGCTTGAGAAAGGGAGCTGAATAGCCAAGGACCTTGGTGCTAATAGGCACACTTTGAGAGAAGTAGCATGTCTTGCAAGGGAGCTGATCGAGAACCACCTTCAAGTGGATAGGGAAAACAAAAAATGATATGCCAGATGTTCTAGCAAGAGAAGGGACAATAGGGATCAAATGTAACGGGGTCCACCCATTGGAAGCAAGAGAATTTTTGTTATATACAAAGAAGGGGTATGTGTAGGGAAGGGAGACTAGCTTCCTAATGTAACTTTAGGGTGTTGACACAATCTATCTTGTAGCCTTCTATTATTTTTTTTGACAATAAGATTATTCCAGTTATGCAAAAAAAATCTTCCTTAGGAGTATGTTCTAAATTAAAATATTTCAAAGTTGAATGGCTGGCTTAAGATGGGAAGAATTCTAGTACAAGGTAGTCTTTAAGGCTGATTTGGAGTTCAGGGAGGAGGTGTTGATATAGAGGATCCCTAATCCAGTGATAGGTCTGGATTACATGCATGATTCTTCCACATGGGAGATCATATAGCAAGCTTCTCTAGTGGCTAGATTAAGAAAAAATATACATGTATTTCTATGTATTCTAAACCAATGTTGTGGAGTTGTGTTTCCAAAAGGTGGGGAAAAGAAGGCTAAAGAGGGGAGATATGATGCACCTTCCGATAGGGTGTAGAGGGTCTTAGTGAAAAATGGTACATCGTTTCCATTATTCTTATTCCAAAAAACAGAACAAACAAATGAAAAGACATGGAGGGAACTCTAATATCCAACATTATACTAATTCACAATCAGGTTATGCATGCATAAAAGCATGCTTTATTTATTTTTCTTTCTTCTTCCACTTTCTTATTCCCTGTAAAATTTTAAAGATATGTAATTTATGGATTTAACTCTTTTAGGCGTCATTTGAATGGTCCATATCTCCAAACCATTCAATCAATGTTGGTAGGTCTATTCCCCAAAATTTAACTGACAGCCCAAAAGCAATTCATATACATGAATTCTTTTATTATGCTAATTGATTGGATTGTTCAGATAAATTAGATAGAGGAACTCATGAAGTAAACCGCCATTCCTTGTTTACAGATTGCTATTGGTCTGGTGAAAAAAAAATATTCTGCAACACCATCTAGAAAAAATGATTTTAATTTTGAAATAGGAATGKACTGGATGGCAAACTGCTATTGGTTTGGTTCAGAAACCAAAAAATTTTGTGCACCACCCTGCATAGGATGTGAGTTTAGGATCAGGATCTGCTACAAATAAGACATGTACAATGGGTTACCCAATCATCAGTGAATATATGGATTTCTGATGCACATACTCTTGACTGGTTTGTAGCCCATTGTGTGTGTCTTGTTTGTAGTAGATTCAGCTTGAGTATGGCTTTGAATTAAAATATGTAGGGTGAGCTGGGGTGGGGTAGTAAACAGCAGGCCTAATCTAATTCTCACCCAGTCATCCATGGTCAAGATGGGCCATGAGTGACAATGTATGCACTATAGAACTGTAAATGCARCATACTGGGTGACTTTAGGTTCTTTTCAAAGGCGACCTATGATTTCAGAGTCCAGACCTGCTGCCCTAGTTAGGTCTGTACTTTTTGCCATGAACATGAATCTTGAATTGTCATTTTGTGAGCTAAGGGCAGGCCAAAAGCACATCGATTAGAGTAGATAAGAATCAAGCTGTTCTACATCTGGAAACATACCGGTAATTTGTTCACCGCATGTATAGGTTTCTGAGACATAAAGCTGTACATTGTCTGAGTACTTTTATTTGTTTAATTCTCCTATCACCTATTGTTTTTAGTGTTGTATCTTATAGGTGCTAGAAAGTTTAAACTTTCTATATGCTAGGCCATACTGTTGGTTGACCCATACATGAGCACGCAAGGAATGGGTTGGATCTACATTGATGTTTTAACTGTCTTAACTTATTGAATATTAGATAGAGAAAATTAAAAAATGTTGAGAGATAATACTAACTATTAGCTCTCTCTTGTGCATGCACTCAAATTATCCTTTTACTCAAGAGGAGGAACTACAGAAATTCAAGAAAGAATTTGAAGCATGGAAAGCAGCCAGAGTTTGGGAACATCCAAAGGTTGTTGAACTTAGCAGAATTCCTGGGCAATGGCTTGCTCAAGGGAACCTGAACAATGGAACAAAATCTAGTCACTCTGAGCAGATCCCCCTAATTGATTGTGATTAGAAATTTGGTAAGACTTATGATAACAAATTGGGTAAGCCTAGATCTTCTGTACCAACAAGGATAGTGATCTTGAAGCCTGGCCCTGACAGGAATGGGGGTAGTGAAGATTCTTGGGCTGGTTCATCAGAAGCTATTGAAGAGGAAACACTTCAGCAACAGCCAACCCAACCTGAGAATAGTTTTTCTTTAGAGAGAATGCCTCCTCAAACTCTGCAGCAAGGTCTGGAATCCTAAGGTTCCGGCAATGAAATGCACAAAGCCATCACCACTGATGCTCTCAAAGTCCCCAAGTCATTCAAGTACTCTGAAAGGTGATGGATTTCGCCACAGAAGCTTCAACAAAAACATTAATAGGTTTCTTTTTCTTCCTACTTATTCTATAACTCTGTGATTACTTATAATGCAGGTATATGAGCCCGATTGATCGACTGATGTCTCCCATTTCCAGAGGCCTTATGGCAAGAAACAGAAAGGAAGGACCCCTCTTGCCACCATCTAAAAGCCCATCGAAGGTATACAGCTTCTTAGAACTCTGTTGATTCCATGAGTTCTTTCTTATGTTCAATTAAATTCTTGCAAACATATAAGAAAATCAAGTTGCCCAACCCAGAAATTACAAAGATGTAATCATCAAAGCTGTCCCCCCCAGGAGGTGGTTCTATTTGAATCCAGTTGAACAACCGAATGGATTACTCACTTTACTTTCTTTGTTGTTGCAGCTACTGGATGATTAGTGTCTTCAAGAAGTGGATCTGTCTCAGTATTAACTCCGTTGTGGATGAGGAAATCATGGGTTTATTTTAATTTTCATTATCCATGTTTTACGGTTAATGGATAATGCTTCATTTAAAGAAAATTGTATTCAATCTTCAGACAATGCATCTATAAAGTATTTAAATTCTTTAATTTCCACCCCTTCATTTGGAATTGCTTAGAATCTATATTTTCATGATTCAAATGTTCAAAATTTGTTTCTCATTCTCACCAACCCGGTACCATTGGAATTGGACTAAACTAATTTCTCCATTGATCTCTGTCCACAAAAAAAACTTAATTTACAATGTGAGGGAGACAGCATCATTAGTTTTGAATCTTGCTAGGTATGGGGCAATGCACTTCCTGGCAGCCAACTTTCTAGCCGGTATTTATTTCAACCAGAGATTCAGATCCTCCTCAAAGACAAACTCAGATGTAAATATGCTCCTTTATTCATTGCACAATTCTGATAATGTCTTTGATCAATTGATTATTTGATCAGAGAAAATAACCAATTTAACTTAAATGAATATAGAGAAARTAGGTTATTTGAAGAAAATTAGAAAAAAATAAAAAAGGTTATTTTGAAAAAAAAATACTTTTAGCGGCAATGGCGCGGCTGCCACTAAAAACACGTGCCAAACTTATAGTAGCAGTCGCAACTGCTGCTAAAAGTATTTTTAGCGACAGTTTAAAATTTATACCAAWAATCGAGGAAACTGTCGTAGTGATAGAAGAGGGAATGATATATGATCAGTTCAGTAGTCAAGTCCTTGTCCATCTATTTAATTTTTCTACTTACTACTTGTTGGATTTTAATCTCATGAGATTAAATCCAATGGGTTTGATTGGTCAATTACATGAGAAATTGCACCTGCACACTTGATTGAAAAATCAGTTTTTCTCTTATAAAACCCAGTTTTGAATTTGTCCCACATTGGAAAATTATAAGTTTTGTTTTCAGTATTTCAATAGGAGCTGATTTACACTCCTTAGAATTAGTAGAGGAGAGTATGGGGATTCGATACCGTGCGCACGCGTGTATGCGACGCAATGAGACGCTTTAGAGGCGCACTTTGCTCGCACCCTCGTGGCTCGCGATGGGTGGCTTTGGTTTTGGTGTGTTGCTGACTGTTGATCACCGTTGATGAGATCAACGGTCACAATTCGATCAGGTGCGATCAAGAGGCACAATTTAAAGTTAACAGTCACTAACTGTTAACTACTTTTTAAACAGTCACAATGTTTGAAATTGAGATTGTTCAAGGTGCCTTCTCTAAACCAGCACCTACCTTTTCTTCATACCTCTTCACAAATTATTTAAGGAGCATGAATCAGACTCCAAAACACACAATTTCGAAATTCACTCACTCTCTCTCTCTCTCTCTCTCTCAGTCCGGTCTACTACAGTCTCATAGAAGGTTTCTTTGGAGACTCTTCAACTTTGCTGGTTGCAGATTCTCGCCCAAGGCTCTGTTGTATCTTGGGAACGAATTTTCCTGTAACCCAATAGCAAACTCAGTAAAACTGAGTGGGGGCAAATAACGTTCTAAAGACAGTGTCTTCAAACACGCCTCAGAGATTCTCCTCCAAAGTTACAGTGACCCCACTTTCTCCAACACTACTAAAAAAATTAATATAGATTACAAATGAATAATAAGTGGGAGTTTGGAACAAGCCCTATTTTGTTTTACAAAACATGTGAAGAACAAGGGGCAGATCCCCTATTTTTCTATACAAAATAAGTGAAGAACATTATATTTTGCACAAAACTTGTGAAGAACAAGGTGTTTTTTCACACAAAAATGAAAAGYTTTTTGTTTGAATAAGAAGAGGAAGAGGTATGAAAAAAAGGAAGAATAAGGAAAAAAGAAGAGGATGAAGAGAAAAAAATAAATATAAATGTATTAAAACAAAGGGAGTGGAACCCTTGTTTTTGCATTCAAAATCGAAGAAAAGAAAAGAAAAGAAGGACTAGCCATCTAGGCTCTAGCACTGAAATTGAGAAGAAGAAGAAGCAGAAGAAGAAGATAAAACTAAAAAACAAATCAAAGATTGGTCAGTCTGGTCATTTGGACTTGGATGTTAGAGTTTGGGCAGAGGGCGGATTGAGAAGAAGAAGAAAGACAAAAGTAATCATAGTCTAGTCGATTTGGTCGTTTGGACTTGGACTTTGGGTGGAAGGTGGACTCAGAAGAAGAAGAAGAAGACGAATATTACATAATACATACTTGGAGCTGGCTGAGCTGAGGAACGATGGAGGAGTTTTTCCTTGTCGTTACTCATTGTAAGGTTTTTTACTAAAACCCTACAACAAAAACAATGTTGATGTTGATGTTGATGTTGAGGAACTTCATGTGGAAGATGATGATGATGTTGATTGTGCTACTAATAATGTTGGTAGATTTAGTAAAGGTATTACGGGTTCATATTTCTTGGATACTCAAATTAATTAAATATTTTTCTTTATTGATTTTACATGATACTTCTAAACTTCATATTTTGTTATCCTTTCATATAGAATTGGAGATGATTTTTCTACTCTTTTAGTTTTTTATTATATGTTCTTTAATTTAGGTTCCTAAATAGATGAGTTGGTATTGCCAATTTTTTTGTTATGTCTTTATTCATTGCTTAATTTGGTTCCTACATAATTCCTTTTAAATGCCTAGATATCAAACTTTCAATTAAGGTTTGTGTTTAATTCCTTTAGGGCTTGATTGGTTAAAATTTAATTATTATTGCATAATTTGGATATTTTATTATTTGTTCATTTGTTGTAAATTTGTAATGCTTCTTCTATTTGTTTAATTTATTGTTGGCTTTTTTTTTTTTTTTTGTTAAAGACAAAGTTATGAGAAAAAAGATAGCATTCAAGGAGGACAATACTCAACATTCACCTCAACGGTATGAATTTCTGAACTTAAAACACTTTTAATATTTATTAATTTATTTTTTTAGTATATTTGGTTTTGACTTCTTTATATTGAAAATAATATATTTAAATATTGAASACGAATACATGATAAATTCATAATATTTTTACGTTTTTAGCATTTCATATAAAATTTATATTCATTTGAATGATTCTAGTGTTAATATTTAGTGTACATGCTTGTTAGTTTGCATACAAAACCAATAAAATAGTTTAAAAAGTGTAGGAAAAGTAAAATTTTAATAAAACTTATAGTTTCAAATTTCATCGCCCAGGCACCTAAGTGCCCTATGGTCGCATAAGCTCAGTTATGCACCTTGAAATCTATTTCATTCAAATTAAACAACTATTTCATTGAAATAAAAGGCGAAAAAGATAACCTACACAAATTAGGAACCTATGAAAGAGATCAAGCATTAAGTTGGGATCGGTCCAAGCACAGTAGAGATAGCAGGTAGTCCTCAAGATTTATCAGTCTTCCCAATCGATATAGAAAAAGAAGGCAACGAAAAGAAATAAAACGATTACAAAATGAAAAAAACAAAAAAAAAAAAAAAAGAGATTGATCCTATATAGAACTAACAAAGTCAAAGCAAAATTGTATAATGATCGGAAACAATTAGAGAAAAAATCACAGCGGGATTGGGCTGGTATTGAGAGCTTATGGGAGTGAACTCGGCAACCCCCTCATTATCACTTAGATGTTGGCCTGAACGCGGTTACTAGAAAAGGGGATATGAGATTTGCACTTAATCTTCTTCCGATCAACAACGATGCCGACTATTGGCAAGCCGAACTGGTAGTCTGGGTATGGTTTTCACCTAGGTTGGGATTTCGGCTTGAAATCGGCCGATGCTGCAGTGTATCTCAGCCCATTTCGGTTTAGTCGGTTTGCTTCTAAATGAGGATGGTAGCACTGCTACCTATGGTTCTTTTTGACTAATTACATTATTGCCGGAAGACGAGCGGTGGCAGCGGTGGTCTCGTGTGTGTTTGACTGTGCTATAAACAAGAGGACAAAGGAAGGGATAGAGTGGTTTGCAATTCGATGATGACAATTGTGTCTCGGTTTGGAGTGGAGACAAGATATGAAGTTCAATTTGATGATGACAATGGCTATTTGTTTAGGTTGTTGCAGTTGAAACCAACGGTGATCAGCGACAGCGGTGTGAGACTAAGAAGAAAGGGAGAGAGGGATCAATTGTTAATAGAGAGAGAAAAACGAAAGAGATCAAAGAAGAGGGAGGGAGTAGGAAGGAAATAGGAGAAGACAGAGGCGGTGAAGAGAGAGTAGATCGTCGCTGCCAAGAATTGCAGCAACAATCAAAAGAAAAACGGAGGAGGAACGGGAAGAAGAAGAAGAGGAAGAGGAAAAAACTAGAGAGAAAGAGAAAGAAAAGATCTAACTGGAGAGGAAAGTATCGCCGCCACTCTTGTTCGATTTGAACGAAGATGAACAATGCAAGACAGAACATTAGATTCGAGAGACTTCTTTGTTCCCTTCGCTAGAAAGAGATGATGAGCATTCCCTTTTTTAAAATTTTAGTGCCCCTCTCATTAGAA